AAGGGTCCAGACCCGAAACGTCAGCTTTCCTGCTCCTCTGATGCTGCTTGGCCTGCTGTGTTCATCCAGTTCTACACCTTGTTATCTCTGATTCTCCAGCATCGGCAGTTCCTACTACCTCTAGCCTATCTAATATCTGTTCATACTGTATTGTTCCAGCGCAGGCAACACCTTGGTGAATCTCCTCTGTACCCCCTCTCATGCAATCCCATCATTCCTATAGGGTGGTGACTAGAACTGCACACAGTATTCCATCTCCCCTTATCTAAGGAAAGATAGGCTGATATGGAGGGAGTGTCATATGAGGAGAAATTGAGTAGGTTGGGCACGTACTCATTGGAGTTTAGCAGAATAGGGGCCAACCTTATTGAAACCTACAAGATTCTCAAGGGGCTTGACAAGGTAGATGCAGGAAGGTTGTTTCCCCTTATCGAGATCATCCATGATAACGGAGATAGCATTCAAAGCTGGAAAATAAAGCAACTATTAGAGAGTCTAGGACCAGAGGGTAAAATCTCAGGATAAGAGGTCACCCATTTAAAACAGAGATAAGGAGGAATCTCTTCTCTCAGAGTGTAGTGGATCTGTGGAATTCTTTACTGCAAAGGGTTGCACAAGCTGGCTCATTGAATATAGCAAAGGCGGAGATAGACAGATTCTTAATCAGTAAGGGAATCCAGGATTATGGGGAAAAGGCAGGAAAGTGAATTTGAAGATTATCAGATCAGCCATGATCTCATTGAATGGTGGAGCAGACTCAATGAACTGAATAACCTACTTCAGCTCCTATATAATATAGCTTTATGTGGCTGAACAGCTCTAACATAAACTCTCTGATATGAAGATGGGTCAGCAGACCCAAAACGTTAACTCTGTTTTTTCCTTCATAGATGCTGCCAGACCTGCTGAGCTTTTCCAGCAACTTTATTTTTGTAACCTCTCTACACTTGAACTCAAAACCTCAGTTAATAAAGGCACATATTCCATATGCCTTATTATATTTGTACAAAATGGCTGGTCATTTTCATAGAATCCCTACAGTGTAGGGGCAGACTCTTTGGCCCATCGAGTCATACCGACCCTCTGATGAGCAACTCGCCTGTCCCTACCCTAACCCTATATTTCCTGTGGCCAATCCAAGTAGCTGCACATCCCTGAACACTATGGGAAATTTAGCATGGCCAATTCACTCTAACCTGCACATCTTTGGACTGTGGGAAGAAACCAGAGCACCCCAAAAGGGACCATTGCAGACACAGGGAGAATATGCAAACTCTACACAGTTGCGTGAGGGTGGAATTGAACCTAGGTCCCTGGCCCTGAGAAGCAGCAGTGCTGAGCACTGAGCCACCATGCCCCGCCATGAATTTTATATCTTGTTGTGCTATACTAGAGAAAACATACAGTTCTATCTAGGTATTATTTCTACACAAGTGTATTTTGACTGTAAAGCAAGATGAAATCATTGACAACGCACTGCCTTATTTGTCCTGAATGCTACACAATTAAGGAAAAGTACATACATTAATGGATTGAGGACTCACATCTGGATGGAGTTCATTGAACCAACAATTTAATGTGTTAAATTTGGTATAATTATGGAAGATAAGTGTTTTTTCTAACCCAATTTGTGTCTTGAAAGGTATCAAAAGAAAGAAATGCTTGAGATATCAAGTCATTGCAAAAAGCACTATATATATGTAAGGCTTTCTTTTACATAATGTCTTACATGGCTTCTAAATGTCCCAGAACACTTCGCATACCCATTAGTTATGCAGTAATTGTTGAAATGTAAAAGAAAGACAACTTGCACACAGTAAGATCCCATACATAGCACTGAGGGAAGATCAAATAATGTGATTCTTGATGGGATGATTGATGAGGAATTTATATTGGCCAGGACACAGAAGAAATCATCTGACTGGTAACATAGCACTCCCACAGAACTGTGCTCGATTATCAGCCTAGACTTTACACCTAAATCTCTGGAGTGAAACCTAGAGTGAGTCTGACCTAGAAGAAACAATGTTGGAAATATGTCACATCTGAATCAGACCACGTAAAGATGCAAGGCTTTCTTCCTTTGAGGATACTAGTGAACCAGTTGGGTTTTGTTAACACCAATCAGATGGTCATTTTTGCTGATACCAGGTTTTCAGCATACAGGTGACATGGTGGTTTGGTGGTTAGCACTGCTGCTTTACAGTGCCAGGAACCCAGGTTTGATTCTAGCCTTGGGTGACTGTATGCAGTTTGTGCACATTCTCCCCTTGTCTGTGTGGGTTTACTCCTACAAAGATGTGTAGGTTAGGGTCGATTGGCCATACTAAATTGTCCCATAGTGTCTAGGGATGTACAGGCTGGGTGGCTTAGCCATGGGAAATGCAGGATTACAGGGATAAGGTTGGGGGTGTGTCCAGGTGGGATGCTCTTCAGAGGGGTGGTGTGGACTCAATGGGCTGAATGACCTGCTTCCACACTGTAGGGATCCTACAGCCTATTTTAATATTATAATTGAAAATTGTTGCCCACACTAAGGAACTGGTTCCTTCAGCCGGCAGAGGTCACAGTGTAAGTTGCATCGAGCTATGACACCTGATGCCGATCAGACTAAGACCAGTGTGGCACAATAATATGGGTTTGCTAATTGTCATTCAGATCTCACTTGTCAGTTGTAGTATGACTACAGCTTAAAATAATAGAAGTAGGGAGGTCTTACTGCACAGAACAATACACAACATGGTTAGTCCACACCTGGAGCACTGGGTGCAGTTTTGCACACCTTACTTATGGAGGGACCTGCTTAATTTGGAGGTGGATCAGAGGAGGTTCACTTGACTAATGAAAGATTTTTCTCCTGATGAAAGGTTGGCCTTTTCCTGATAAACCATTTGTCTTTAATCTGTCTGTCTTGTGTTTTTGCGGGTTTAGAAGGGGTATAATAAGTTATATAGCTATAAACTAGAAATTCTTTTTTTCTGCTCTTGCTAAATTTAAGTTTGTCAATACAGTTACTATCAAAACCCAGTGACAATTACTTTTGTTTTGAATAGCAATCAGTCAGGTAACTTTATCATTTTGGTGGTCTTGCTTTATCAATTTACATTTCAGAATGGCTTGTAGAACAGTGGGGCACAATCAATGGTGCACTGTTCCCACTTAAATCATGACTCTATCCTTTTAAGACAACACACTCGTTCCAGGTATCAATGGAGTGATACTTCCCTGAACTGCTTTGAACAGATTTGTATCCTTCCTTATACAGGGAAGCCAGAACTATATACAATGTGGATGCTGATAGGATATGTTCTCTCCTGGGGGAGTCTAGAACTAGCAGGCACAGTTTCCAAAGGGATCTCCCACTGAAGGCAGAGATTAGGAAGAATTTCTTCCCAAAGGTTCATTAGTGCTTGGAGTGTTCTCCACAGAGAGCAGGAGAGGTGGAGTTATTAAATATATTTGAAGCTGAGTTTGATAAATTTTTGATTGACAAGGGAATGAATGGCTATGAAGGGCAGGCACAAAAGTGGAGTTACAGGCATGTTAGATCAGCAAGGTTCTTATTGAAAAGCAGAGCTTGATCTAGGGGGCTGAATAGCCTATTCCTGCTCTTATTTTTTTGTGATCACATGATTGCCAAATTTGTTTATGAGCTTTTACATTCTATTTGTATTTCTTGGCTGTAGGATCCTCATTGCTGATATTTTTAGTCACAATTTCTGTGTCAACTGTGACACAGCTGGTTGCGCTGTCACCTCAGAATCAGAAGGTTCAAGTTCCACGGGTCAGATCTCCACTGTAACAGTCAGGGGAGACACTCCAGTGCAGTCCTGAAGGAGGCACTGTCTTTTGCATGAGGTGTAAAACTGGGCTCTGCCTGTCCTTTCAGGTGGAGCAAAAAGATTCCTGCCATGTTATCATGAAGAAGAATGTCCTGGCCACTCTTTATTCTTCAATCAGCATGGCAAAAACTGGTGATCCAATCATTGAGAGCGTGTCAGGTGCAAATTAGTTTTTTTTATTCACTTGAAGGACATGGGTGTCTCTGGCTGGGCCAGTATTTATTGCCCCATCCCTAGTTGCCCTTGAGAAGCTGTTGGTGAGCTGCCTTCTTGAATCGCACCACAACACCCTTAGGGAGGGAGTGCCAGGATTTTGACCCAGCGACACTGAAGGAACAGTAATATATTTCCATGTCAGGATGGCGATTGCCTTGGAGGGGAACTTAAAGGTGGTGATGTTCCTGTACATCTGCTGCCCTTCTCCTTCTAGATGGAAGTGGTCATGGGTTTGGAAGGTGCTGTCTAAGGATCTTTGGTAAATTTCTACAGTGCATCTTGTAGGTAGTACATACTGCTGCTACTGAGTGTCGGTGGTGAAGGGAGTGGATGCTTGTGGATGTAGTGCCAATCAAGCGGGCTGCTTTGTCCTGGATGGTGTCAAGCTTCTTGAGTGTTGTTGGGGCTGCACTCATCCAGGCAAGTGGGGAGTATTCCATCACACCCCTCTTATGCCTTGTAGTAGTGGACAGGCTTTGTAGGGGTCAGTAAATGAGTTACTCATCTCAGTATTCCCATCTCTGACCCGCTCTTGTAGCCAATGTGTTTATGTGGCCAGTTTGGTTGAGTTTCTGGTCAATGGTAACCCCCAGAATGTTGATAGCGTGGGATTCAGTGATGGTAACATCATTGAATGTCAAGAGGCAGTGGTTGGATTGGAGATGGTCATAACCTGGATTTTGTGTGGTACAAACTGTAACTGTAGCTGTCCCAATTCTTGCATCACCACGGTTGCCTCATGTTAAAAAGTCCATTCAGGGACTGCAGGGCTTATGGAATACTATCAGGAGCTACGCAAATGCAAGTTTCCCTTTCTGTTCAAGGGGGTGTGGGGGAGTGGAGAGGGGCAGTGTGATTTGTGGCGAAGGTTTGGGAACCCGGAAGTGGTGCGCGTTTGATGTGTTGTCAATTACATCAGGGAGCTGAGGGAGGAAGCTGTGCTGGATATAGCGAGCCAGCCACAGGAAGCCAGCACCCTCCCATTCAGGGACAGCGACCACTGCATCCTCTCCCTCTCCTGCCCAGAACTTCAGGAGCCTGATTACCTCCATCCTCGGCCAAGCCAACGCCTGCTTCTGAAGGTGGGTCAGTGCTTTGAGAAGTGCATTAATGCGTGCAAGAATCCAGATTGCAAAATTCTAATGCAATTTGCAAACTGTTCCCACCAAATATTTCAATCTCCCCTTTATTTTCTCTCTCTCTCTCCCCCACCTTGTGTTGCATAATCAGAACCCCGAGGCTGAGTCTGTACCAGTTACAAGGTAGGCTTAAAGATGCGCCAATGCTTAATTTTAATTTGCCGTTTGCCCGGAAATCGTCAATAATTCAGTTTCATGCGAAACAAAATTGGCCAGCGGTTTAAATATTCCATGTTTGTTTTGTTTGCATTTGGTCGAATAACGCCCTGTGTTTTGCATTTGACAAGTCGCACCTGAACAGATCGGCTGGAGGGGGAATGGAAAAGAGAAATGAGCGATCTAGCTGAGGAATCCATGAGCGATCCGACCGGTCACTTGAAGAAGCTGGCGCTGCGAGCTGTCGATCTCCCGGTGTCTCTGTATCACTCGCTGCCGGAGGTCAGGCCACTTCATTACCCCCCGCCTTACAAACTCCACCTGTTAAGCTGACACCTTCCCCAACCCACGTTCAGCCTTTAGAGAGCTCGTGTGGTGCAGTGGTAGTGTCCCTCCCTCTAGAACAGGATGCCTGGGTTCAAGTCCTACCTGCTGCAGAGGTGCGTCATCACCTCTCTGAACTGGAAGGTTAGCCCAGTATCGAACCAGGGTTTAATGGTGAGGTCGGCGAATTTTCAGGTGGACACCAGGTTTAACACGCAGTGTTTTGTTGGCTTTCTGGTCTGCTATTCCCTCCCTGGGGACTGTGTCAGTATTTACAAGGGGGTCTGTGGGAGTGTGTCAGTATTTAC